GCCGTGCCTGTTCCGCGACGCCGGCAGTTCGCGTGGCTCGGCTCCGCGCTTGTGCGGCGAGGTCGGGGAAGGTCGGGAGACAGGTGCGCCTGACCCTCCGCAGCGCTGCTTCTCGGGGAGGGGCTCCGGGTTGCGCGGGGCGGGGGCGCCCGCCGGCGCGGGGCGCGGCTCTGCGGAGCGCTCCGGAGGGGGAGGCCGGGGCGGCAGGGGCCCGCGCTGCACCTGGGTCCTGTTCCTTCGGATGGCCCCTTTCTCGGGCATCTTGTCCCTCGCCAGGCCCCGACCCCGTGTGTGTGTTCGTTTGGGGCTTGGGTTTTTCTTCGCAGTCTGGCGCGCTTTTTCAGGGATTGCGGGCCCGGGTAGGGAAGAGAAGGGACCAGCTGCAGATGGGCGCCTGCGCCCGGGGAGCGCGCTCTGGCGAGGCGTGGGCCGTGCACCGGGTGGCGGCCTCGCCCCTGCGGAAAGGGCAGCGGGGGATCGACTTCGTTTCCCCGGAGTTCAGACGGCCCGAGTCTGTGGCATGTTGTACGTACAAGCTGATAGAATTCTAGCTCTTGTAAAGGACACCTTTAGGTGAAAGGCCATCAGTACCCTATGACAAAATCTAAACCGAGTCTGACGAGAACCGAATCAGAATCAGTGGTTAGGTTCAACATGGGGAAATTTGATTCGGTTCTCTTCCAGCGCAGTTTGCGACCAGAATCGAACTGAACTCGTGAACCGAGACACTACTGTATTTGGACAGCAGCTGCAGAAAATGTTTTCATTTGAGGTTAGGAACCTCTTGTGTGATTCTCCTGCCCGCACTTCGTTGTTGTGTTGTTTTGTTTTTTAAGACAAGTTTTTCTTGATTGGGCGGTCTGGCAGAGGCCTGGGGTCCAAGCTGTCCAGCGGTGAGAGCCACTGGTGAAGGCGAATTCGGGAATTCGGCAGGGTAGGGGTATGAGGGGAGGGCAGATTTTAGCATTTATCTGAGAGTGAGGCAGAAGGGAGAAGATGATAGAGAAAGAACAGGTCCACGGAGCAGCCCTCTGGGTGATAGTGCCAGTCTCATGTGCCATCTTTAGGTGGGTAGGAGGACTCTTGTCTGGGCTCATATGGGGAGGCTGGCATTCCAGGAATTCTCAGGGGTCTTGGAGTCCCTCCTGTGCCAGAAGATGAAAAAGATACCATTAGTTTCCTGTTCGAATTTACTTAGAGTAGTGGTTCATCATCTTTAACTGTCCTCGACAAAATTTGAAAATATTAATTTCTTTAAGAGGTCATAAATCTGTGCCTGGCGTGGTGGCACATGCCTGTAATCCCAACACTTGGGAGGCTGAGGCAGGAGGATCGTTGCGAGTTTGAGACCAGCCTGGGCTACTGAGTGAGCTCAAGGCCATCCTGAACTGCATAGGGAGACCCTGTCTCAAAAAGACCAAAAAAAAGGAGTAGTAAATCTATTACATGTTAATGAACAATCTATTTTAATGAAAAATGGCGTATTTCTCCTACACTTCTCTGGAGTTGCAGTGTTTTATATTTTGTGTCTGTCTTTAATAGAAGACAGTCAGATTTTTTTTATCTACTTCTGCATTCAGTCTCTTGCCAGATTACGTCTCAGGAAGCCTTTGGAAAAGTCTACTGTAGGCTTGGGAGGGAATGAGAATGGAAAAAGCACTGCTAGCTTAGTATTATTAGGAAAATAGCTTTGACTAGGGGGACCCCTGAGAGGGTCTCCTGGATCCATTGGGAACGAATGATTTGAGTAATGTTTTTCTTATTATGAAAGAGGTTCAGCTTATTGTGAAGAAACTTGAAACACATAGGCCACCATAAGAAAAGAAAAATTGTAGCCAGGTGTGATGGTATATGCCTGTAATCCCAGCACTCTAGGAGGCTGAGGCAGGAGAACTACAAGTTCAAGCTTAGGCTGGGCAATTTAGACTGTGTCTGAAAATAGAAATAATAAACACAAAAGGATTGGGCATGTAGCTCAGTGCAGAGGACTTGGGTTCAATCTCCAGTACCACACACACACACAAACAAAGCTGCCTGTCATGCCACCATCTGGTGATATTTACTGATAGAGCATAGTAGGTGACTGATATTTGAGTGGCTTGGATTCTGGGTAGGTTGGGCAGATGTAAGCAGCCTTTGGGTTTTGAATGAGGACGGAGATGCTCTGTTATCCCACAAAGCTGACACCGCTTCCTGGTTGCAGGCGGAGCTGACCTGGAAGCCTCTTGTTGGCCACTGTTTTTCTAAGGAACTCACCTTCCACAGCCTACCTCCACAGAACCAGCAAGGACTCTTCTAGGAGCAGAGGAGATGGCGCTCTTCAGGCAGCTGTCCCTGGCCTCAAAGGCCGCGCTGGCTGCGGTCACTGTCTTCGTGTCCATGATCGTCTCCCGATCCTATCTGGCAGAGTCCCTTGAGCTGAGAGCCTGGCGTTGGCTGTTTCGCCTGCAGCTTGCCCTATTCGTTAACTCGCTCATGCTCATTGGCTCCCTGTACATCTGGCATAGTGCAGTGAGCAACCTCAGCCACTCCCAGGCCGGGCAGGCCACCTGTTTCTGGCTTTGGAAGCTGGCTGTGACGGTGTTTCTGGCACTGGCCCATTCCAGTTTCTTCACCATGCTGTTTCTGGTGGCCGAGGAGCCCTATCTCTTTTCCCTGGCAGCCTACTCCTGCCTGGGTGCTTATGTCATCATGCTGTTCTTCCTCTGCATCCTCAGCGGGATGGAGCAGGCCTACCAGCTCTTGGCCTGGCACCGTGGTAGGGTGGTAGGCAGCCTCGACAAGTCTCGGAAGCTGGTGCTCAGACCCGCTCTGGCGGTGGTGGTGACCGCTGTGCTCAGCGTAATGGGCCTGCTGAATGCTGCTCAGCCCCCAGCTGTGAAAACTGTGGCGGTGCCTGTCCATCAGCTGCCCCCTTCCATGAACAGCCTCAAAATTGTGCTCCTCTCAGACATCCATTTGGGGCCCACGGTGGGCAAGACAAAGATGCAGCTGTTTGTGAGGATGGTGAATGATCTGGAGCCAGACGTCACAGTGATTGTGGGTGACCTCTCTGATTCAGAAGCGTCTGTCCTGCGGACAGCTGTTGCTCCTTTGGGCCAGCTTCGCTCACGCCTTGGCACCTACTTTGTCACAGGCAATCATGAGTACTACACATCAGACGTCAGCAACTGGTTTGCTCTGCTGGAGTCCCTGCATGTCCAGCCTCTTCACAATGAGAACGTAAAGATTTCTGCAACAGGGACCCAAGATGATGGTGAGGGTAGAAGGGCAGGTGATGACTGGATCTGCTTGGCTGGGGTGGACGACATTGAAGCACACATCCTGCACTACTCCGACCATGGCATGGACCTCAGCAAGGCCCTGGAGGGCTGCAGCCCAGACCGCGCCACCGTCTTGCTAGCCCACCAGCCCCTGGCTGCCAAGAGAGCTCTCCAGGAACGGCCAGATATTAACTTGATCCTTTCAGGGCACACACACGCTGGGCAGCTCTTCCCCTGGAATGTGGCAGCTTACCTCCTGAACCCTTTCTTTGCAGGTCTCTACCAAGTGGCCGAGGCTACATTCGTGTATGTCAGCCCGGGCACGGCCTACTACGGGATACCCATGCGGCTGGGGAGCAGGGCAGAGATCACAGAGCTCATCCTGCAGTGCGCTCCCTGACCCAGCACTGCCCTGGCACCCTGCCCTGCCATGTCCTGGCCTGGCCTTCGCCTTCCATCCCTCTTCAGAATGACTTGCCTTCTGCACCCTTCCAGCCTCTCCCCAGCCCTGCCGACACCCCCTTGGTCACAAAGCCTGACGTGAACGAGGCCACCAAGATCACATATGAGAGAATATACGTGTTTCCCAGAGGGTGTGGAGTGAGGTGTCCTGTGGAGCTGGGGGAGGAACTGCAACCTTGGATTGCTCCATGGGACACCTCTAGTGTGCAGGGTTGGGAAGCGGCAGGTGTGTTTACTTCCTAAACCCTCATGAGGGCTTCGGTGATCTCGAGCCTTTCTGGGCCAGGAGTAGTGTTTTTGTTTAATTTGGGAGAATAAGCAAGCTGAGAAGCCCCTTCCACTGCTGGAGGAGAGTGTTTTGTTTTCCTTCTTGCTTTTGTTGGGGTTACCTCTATGGAGGACTTCAACAAAACCTACTTGAACACAGGGCTCCTCCTGTCTGGGCCTTGAGTGATGCAGTGTAGCTGGGCTCCTGGGTTACTGGGCTGGGCTGTGCTTGGCATGAGAAGAAATAACGAGCACTATAGCAGAGGATGGTAATAATGCTGCTGTGAAATTTGGAGTTTTGCTTCCCTTGTTTTCTGTAACGCTTGGGTGAGAAAATTAGGGATGGGCTACTTTCCTGTTTAAAGATGAGGAAATGAAGGTAGGGAGCGGGACTGGCAGCAGGACAAAGTCTGGAGGGTGGGGCTGTAGCTCAGGTAGATCACTTGCCCAGCGTGTATGAGGCCCTGGGTTTGATCCCCAGAGCCTTGAGCAAAACAAAATTAAAAACTCAAAAGCTATATTGGAGATTTGTGGCTAAAATCCAGGTCTTCTGCCTTCCACTGAAAGTTCTTTCCATTCTGATGGTTCAATAGTTTTATTAGTTACAGATTAGTACAATATTCTACTGCATTAACCACAAAAAAAGAACAAACAAGGCCCTAGAACAGGGATGGTGAACCTTCCAGAGCTTTCAGTGATAACAGCCTGCTGTGGCACGTGTGCCCTAAGTTCGCCACCACTGCCGTAGAATCTGTTGTTTCTTCAAAATACTGGCTTGCGACTGACTTCAGTTTACCCACAGCTGCATGGATTCAGTATAGGTTGCCTGCTACATTTGCAGATGAGTCAGAAAACTGGAGCCCCACTCCACCCCAGGTGTGGGTCTGGCTTTTTGTGAAGCTGAGGTTCAGATTAAGGCCCTTGCCTAGGAACTAGGACTGTGGGACTATGGAACTGTCCTTCCTGTTGGGCAGAGTCCAAGCCACCTGCTTCACCCCATAAAAGCTACCCTTGGGGTGGTAGCTCTAGAACAATAGGACCATTTTTACTGGTCTGAAGACCCATGGAAAAACTGGTAAGAGCTCTACTCTGGAGTGACTCGAAACCTGGTGCCTAGCTCTTGAGAGATGCACGAGACCAGTTTTGGGCTGGCAGTAAGCACCTTTGGGAAAAGGCCTCACTGAGAGGACTGAGGGCCTGGGCTCAGTGTTGACTAGTGGGTACTTTTTAGGCGTGCGACTGTGTCCTTCTGATGGAAGCATAGACACCCCCTCTGCTTAGAGGGGCTTGCCCTGCTGCTCTCTGCTGGGAGGGCTGCTTTGGGTGTGTTACTTGACGTCGCAGAACCTGGCTTCCTTCTGTCAGCCCTAGAATAGGACTAATTATTGTAACTACCTCAAGATTGCTTTCTTGGGAGGATAGTAAGACTAGGTGTGAGTTCCGGGTGATGAAGTGCACACAGTCAGTGTGAGGTTAATTTTTCACTGCCATGTAGAGCTGCTAAGAAACTGTGCTGGGCATAGGGGTCCCGAGAATTTCTGGAACAGCCAGGCTTGGGGAATTGAGCAGGTAGTGAGTCACCTGCTGCCAGGCCCAGAGAACTGTCATGGCAGCAGCACTGAGAGGTTGTCTCCCTCTACCTGTGTTAAGATCTCCTTGTGTACTCTAAGCTTGGCAGACCGAGTTTATTCATTTTCTTCTTGTTCTCCTGGTATCTGTTGGAGTTTTGGGAGATCCAGGATAGTAGGCCATCTGGTCAAGTCTAAGAAATGTCTGAGTTGAATCTTTGATGGCATCCTTATTTTTTCTCCCAGTGTAGAATTTGAGAGCAGTGGCAAGGATCTTGGAGAGCCTATTTAAAAGTACATTTTTGTGCCAGGCATGATGGTCCACACATGTAATCTCAGCACTTAAGAGGCTGAGGCAGGAGGATTACCGTGAGTTTGAGGCCAGCCTGAACTACAGAGCAAGACCCTGACTCAAAACCAAAAACAAAACAAGTTCCAGGCCAGCTTGGGCTGCATAGCAAGACCCTGTCTCAGAAGAACACAAGCAAAAAACATTTTGCAGATGGTGGAATTCTAAGAGGGATTGCCCCTCAGAGCCCATTTTGTTGGCTCCCTCTCCAGGGTGCTGCTCCCTACTGGCCACTCCTCCGTCCTTAGGACAGCCCTTCCTTCAGATGCTCCCTAGTCACCTGACTGTGTTCTTGGCAGTCATTTTTACTGCCTTTTTGATTCTTTCTTTGTTTTGGATTTCATCATCCGAAGCCAGTTTGTGCTGCTTTTTGGTGCAGCATTTGATATAACTGCTACACCCATTATTTTACTGCTTCTTGATTTCTCATGCCCAGGGCTTGATGTAATTAACTTTCATCAGGCCTTTTTTTTTTTTTTTTTTGTCTTGTATCCTTGCCTTTTTTCCTTTTGGATGCCATCATTTTATGTTCTGTGTACCCTTTGTTCACTCTGGAATCTGCTTGATCCCTGAGTTTTCCATTAACAGAAAGGAAATGGGTCCATCCCATGAAATTGCAAAACATCCACACCCTCTCATGCTTGATTTGTATTCCCTGACTGGACAGGTGTTCTCCCTGCAGAAAGTTCTCCATTCCTGTCCAGATGTGCTTGGTCAGCAGCTCCCTGTGGCACTCTTTGTCCACTCTCTTCAGTGTTCTTTCTTATTTTCTTCATTTTTTAGGATTGAATCCAGGGCCTTCATACTGAGCTCCATCCCCCTGCCCTTTCTCATTTTTAAATGTTGAGTGTTGCTAAGTTGCCTAGGCTGGACTCAAACTTCCCATCCTCCAGTCTCAGCCTCCCCAAATGCTGGAAGTATAGGCATGTGCTATTGCATCCAGTTTGTTCAGTGTTCTTGATCTGTTCATGACACTGCCATTATCACACTGTTTTGTTCATGCTTGTGGGAGGGAGTGGTGAAGCTTGACCATTCTTTTTTTTTCGTACCAGGAATCAAACTCTGGGCCTTGCACTTGCCAGGTAAGCACTGTGCTGCTGAGTTATATCCCTGGCCCTTCTTTTTTTTTTTTTTTTTTTTAATTAGATGTTTGCAGTACTTACTGTTCACATTCCTTAGGTACACATCTTATTTCCCTTGATTATCCTTTAAACTTTCAGTTTTTTCAGTTTCTTAATGTTAGATACAAATTGATGTATAATGCTTTTTTAAAATTAACAATAGCATGTAGTATGCTATTGTAATGAAACCTCAATTCTATTGCATTCATTCCTCAGCACAGAAAAAAAGCATAACCATATGTCATGATTATATTAAGACCATGCCAAAAAAAAAGACCATGCAGTACTAGTCAGGAGATTTGGACTAAGAAGCCAGATATTCTACCTCCCAGTAGAAGTGTTTTTTCCACTATATTTTCCATTGAGTTCAGTTCTTTTCATGTTTTTGAATACAAACCCTGAAGTAGAAACTTACTGGATCATATGATAGTTCCATTGTTCAATTTTTAATCCTTTGAGGACCTACCTCATATTGTTTTCCACAGGTAGCAATTTTGCAGTCTCACCAGCAGTGAATTTCTCTAAATTCTTGTCAACACTTGCTACTTTCTGCCTTTTTTTAATCTTTTATATAATGGCTATGCTAATGTGTATGAGGTGGTACCTTGTGATTTTGATATGATGAGTGATTTTATCCTTTCCTCACTGGCCATTTGTTCACTTTTGGAGAAATGTCTGTTCAAATCCTTTGTGCTTTTAAAGATAAGGTTATTTGATTTTGTTGTTGTCATTGTTGAGATGTAGGAGTTCTTCATATATTCTGAGTATTAATTCCTTAACAGATGATTTGCAGATGTGTTCTTTAGTTTTATAGGTTGTCTTTTCACTCTGTCAATTGTGGTTTTTGATGCATAAGGGATTTTAAGTTTGATGTTCCATTGGTTTATCTATCTTTCCTTTTTTAATAGTACTAAGGATTGGGCCTTAAACTTGGCATCCTCCTTCCTCAGCTTCCTGAGTTGCTGGGATTATAGGCGTGTGTCACTCAGCCCATATAATCTTTCTTTTTTTTTTTGTCTGTGTCTTTGACATCACAGACAAGAAATCATTGCCAAACCCAATGTTATGAATATTCTCCTTATGTTTTCTTCTAGGAATTTTATAGTTTTAGGTAAAAGTATTTAGATCTTTAATCCACTTTGGGTTTCTGTGTATGTGTGTGTGTGTGTGTGTGTGTGTGTGTGTGTTTCTAGGGGCTGAACCCAGGGCTTGTGCCAATTAGGCAACTGTTGTGCTGCTGAACTACACCCCAACCCTCTTTGAATTAATTATATGTGGTGTAAGATAAGGCTTCTACTTCATTCTTTCTATTTATTGTTTTGCTTTTGCTTTGAGGCAGTGTCTCACTTTGTACTGCAGGCTGGCCTTAAATTCATGATGATCCTCTTGCCTCAGTTCCTCAAAGCCTTAGATCACAGGTGTGTGCCCCCATACCTGGCCCAACTTTATTCTTTTGCATTTGGGTGTCCAGTTTTCCGAGTGTTACATGTTGAAGAGACTGTTCTTTCTTCATTGAACAATCTTGGCACATTTGTTGAAAGTCATTTCACCATGTATGTGAGGGTTTATTTCTGTACCTTCTGGTTTTTTGGTACCAGGAATCAAATTCATGACCTCATGCTTGCCAGGGTTGCACTGTGCCGCTGGGCTATACCCCCGGCCCTGTACCTTCTGTTTTGTTCCATTCGTCTGTTTGTCTTTATGCCATTATCATGTCATTTTGATACTGTGGTTTTGTAATATGTTTGAGAATCCTTATTAGGAATCTTCTAACTTTCTACTTTTTCTATATTGTTTTGACTATTCAGAGTCTTTTGAGTTTGACTATTAGGGTAAACTTTTTCCCTCCCTCCCTTCCTTCCTCCCTTTCTTCCTTCCAGAGAGGATCTTACTATTAGCCCAGGCTGCTCTCAAGCTCATG